GATCTTTATGCATCAATCTGCCTATACAGAAAGGGTCTTAAAACGCTTTTACATGGACAAAGCGCACCCATTGAGTACACCAATGGTTGTTCGATCACTTGAAGTGAATAAGGACCCGTTCCGACCTCCAGAAAAGGATGAGGAACTCCTTGGTCCTTAAACACCCTATCTTAGTGCAATTGGTGCACTTATGTATCTTGCTAATGCTACAAGGCCAGACATAGCATTTTCTGTTAATTTACTAGCAAGATATAACTCTTCTCTTACTCGGAGACATTGGAATGAGATTAAGCATATTTTGCGATATTTAAAGGGAACTCTTGATATGAGTTTGTTTTATGCTAACAAAGGTAGTGCAGATCTTGTTGGTTATGTAGATGCATGTTATTTATCTGATCCCCATAAAGCTCGATCTCAAACCGGATACGTGTTTACATATGGAGGTACTGTCATATCATGGCGCTCCACAAAGCAGTCAATTGTTGCTACTTCTTCAAATCATGCTGAGATAATAGCTATTCATGAAGCAAGTAGGGAATGCGTATGGTTGAGATCAGTGATTCATTTTATTCAAGAAAAATGTGGGTTTGAGTGTGATAAAAGATCCACAATTTTATACGAAGACAATGTTGCATGCATAGCCCAATTGAAGGGAGGATTTATAAAAAGGAGATAGAACGAAGCACATTTCACCAAAATTATTCTACACACACGATCTTCAGAAAAATGATGACATTGATGTGCAGCAAATCCGTTCAAGTGACAATCCGACAGATTTATTCACTAAATCTTTGCCAACTTCAACTTTTGAGAAGATGGTATACAAGATTGAAATGTGGAGACTCAAATATTTGAAACAAGGTTTTCATCAGGGGGAGTAAAATACGTGATGTACTCTTTTTTTCTTACTAAGATTTTTTCCCACAGGGTTTTCCTTATAAGGTTTTTAATGAGACAGCTAGAAATGCGTATTACTAAATATGTGTACTCTTTTTCCTTCACTAGGATTTTTCCCACTTGATTTTTCCTAGTAAGGTTTTAACGAGGCACAATACCTTTTAATGAACATCCAAGGGGGAGTGTTATGAAAATAATTATATTGTGGATGTTCATTTATTACTCCGCTATAGATAATCTTCCTGAAAAAGATTATCCATTTAGTACTCTGTTGAAATTTATCTACAAGCAGCCGATGCAGGTAGGTTGCAAGCAGCTCAATGAAATGATTTGCAGCAGCTTCTTATTAAACAGGTAGGTTACAAGCAGCTCATGTAGACAACTTACAAGCAGCTAAAGAAAAGCCTTGCAGCTGCTTCCTGAAAAGCCTCGCAGCTGTTTCCTTTCTTCTATAAATAGAAGAGTTTTCAGTTCATTATATACATACGTTTGAAATTTGAATAATATATCAGTTTCTATCTGTACTTGTCTTTACTTTACAATTTTTATTTTATAATAAATTTTAATTTATTATAGCCACATAAAAGAAGATAAATTTGTCAAGGAGGATAGCCGCCAGAGTTGACACTTGACAGGTCTCATATACCAATCTCCAAAGTCTCCTCCAACTATCATTGTAATTGAGCTTTCCTTTGCTGGAAATTTGGAAACCAAAAGATGAGCTGGTGGTGGTCTGGAGCTATAGGCGCTGCAAAGGTAACTTCTCCCTCTACTTCTTTATTCAACAATCTAATAATATAGTAATTCTTAATCCTCCAGAAAAAAGTCGAACAAGATGATGCCCCAGTACAGAAGCATCAAAGCGTTGCACTAATAATCGGAGTCACCGGCATTGTCGGCAACAGCCTCGCCGAGATCCTCCCTCTTTCCGACACCCCCGGTGGTCCTTGGAAGGTCTACGGCGTCGCTCGCCGTCCTAGACCGTCGTGGAACGCCGACCACCCGATCGAGTACATCCAATGCGACATCTCAAACCCTGAAGATACGCAATCCAAACTCACTCTACTCGGCGACGTCACCCACGTTTTCTACGTGACTTGGGCCAGTCGATCCACAGAGATCCAAAACTGTGAAACCAACGGGAAAATGTTTAAAAATTTGCTCAATGCTATTATCCCCAATTGCCCCAATTTGTCTCACATCTGTTTGCAAACGGGTCGAAAACACTATCACGGCCCGTTTGAATTGTTCGGAAAAGTAGCACATGATACCCCACATCACGAGGGTTTGCCCCGTTTACCCGTACCCAATTTCTACTACACTCTTGAGGATATTCTATTTGAGGAGGTGAAAAAGAAAGAAAAATTAACATGGTCAGTTCATAGGCCCGGGTTGATATTTGGGTTTTCACCCTATAGTTTAATGAATATTATTGCAACTCTGTGTGTTTATGCAGCTATATGTAAACATGAGGGGTTGAAATTGAAATTTCCAGGCGTTAAATCAGCTTGGGACGGGTACTCGGACTGTTCAGATGCGGATTTAATTGCCGAGCATCAGATATGGGCGTCAGTGGATCCTAATGCGAAGAATGAGGCATTCGATGTAAGCAATGGGGATGTGTTTAAGTGGAAGCATTTGTGGGGGATTTTAGCTGAGGAATTTGAAGTGGAAGCTGAAGAATTTGATGAAAAGAGCAAGAGATGGACATTGGAGGAGATGATGAAGGATAAAGGAGAAATTTGGGATGAGATTGTGAAGGAGAATGGATTGGTGCCTAATAAATTGGAGCAAGTTGGAGGTTGGTGGTTTGTTGATATTGTTCTTAGTGGAGAGTGTCCTTTGGATGCTATGAACAAGAGTAAAGAACATGGCTTTTTGGGTTTTAGGAACTCCAAAAATTCCTTCGTTTCATGGATTGATAAGGTGAAAGCCTACAAAATTGTTCCTTAATTTGTTTGATTGGTGAAGTTTTCTTTACGACTCATATAAGTTAAAGTTGTGGGATATATAAGTTAGACTCACGAAAGATAAGTGGAAATGTGGATGGAAAGTGTATTTTGAGCTTGTCTACTCTCCATTATGTTGTTGATAAACATAAAAGAAAATTACTGCAAAAGCAGCCATTCCTGATGCTTGTATATTGGAAAAGGTTTTGGATTAATAAACTATAAACTATACCTACAACTAGGGTATTCATAAAAATCCGAAANTATATGTATGTATATTTTTATATAAAATTTCTAAAATGTTATGGTACATATTAATCGTTTGTATTTTTAAGTCTAGTTCTTTGCTATTACAATAGTCTAATTCTTTGCCTTTACATTCTAGTTTGATTGGTAGTTTGTTTTTGCTAAGTACAAGAATTATTTTATGTTAAAAATAATCAATTTTTAATTGAGTACTTAAATTATTCATCACTATTTGATTCAATTATCATTAATATATCATGGTAAATGATAGGTTTCTCAAAGAGCAATTGATTTGATAGTGTTACGTTGAAAATGTAGTCGCCGGAATATGTGTTTGGTAGTGTATGTCTCATATTTAAGAAAAAGAACCGATAAATAACTGAAAAATCCGACAAAAACCGAATTCCTAAAAAATCGACTTAATTGGTTTGGTTTGGTTCCAACATTTTAAGAATCGACTTACTTGGTTTGATTTTTTTTAAGGAAAAACTGATCCAAACCGAACCATGAACACCCCTACCTACAAAGGCTACATGAGGGCTGAGGGATACTTTAGATAATTTAGCTCTTAGTACAACTTTTATACTCCTTTCTCAAGTATTTAAACTTTTAAGTTTAGTGTTCTATTACTGTGTTAACACTTAAACACCGACGAAAATATCAAAATTTTGTAGAAGCCAAGTGGAAGGAAAAATTTAAAGAGATAAGACAAGTCAAGCAAGAACCATTTTCCATTTGATGAACAAATCACAGCTGAATTTCTCACGCCCAATAGCCTGGAAGAGAAAACAGTATACGGAATAACATAAAGTAAAAGGTAAATATTACTAGTATATTAGAAGTATTCAATTTGCCAATTATCATATGCAGAAAGTGAAAGGTAGATATTATACTAGAAGTACTTGTGATCAATTGCCATATTCAGAAAATTTCGCTTCTTTATGTTATAAGTATTCAATTTGTCAATTAGATGAACAAGTGACTTGAAAATTTTGCCCAATAGCCTAGAGAAAGCTACAAATCGTTTTCACCCAATTCCACTCGTTATGGAAACTGATTCTCACACAATATGTACTACCCATTATTCACTTAGACGTCAGGTAAATGTTGATATGCAATCAGTTTTACTGATCTCACTTATTCACTCTATTTTAAAGCTTTTTAGCCTTTTTTATAAAGTAGTATTCGAGCTGCTATTTCTACCAACATATGTACGGCTTAGAAGGAATTACCTATAATTTTTTGTCTCGAAGAAAATTTGAAGCGTAGTTTTCCGTAATTTATACCGACTTCATTAATCGTTAAGCCACACTATTGTTGGAATTTTAAGCTTGTGTAGCTTAAAGAGGGTGAATGAGAAATGGAGGGAAAAAGAATTATTTGAGTTTCCCTTGGGAAAGGGACATTGTCCCATATCGGAGAAGAAAAGGCTTTTGATGGGTATATATATAATTGCTCTTCTTCTATTTCTTAAAGAATTAAGAAAAAGGCAAGACTCGCGCCGTCGTCGTCGTCGCTCGGCTCGGCTTCGGCTTCGGTCAAAGATTGATTGATTAATCTTTTTAGACAAAATTCCTTTCAATTATTTAATTAATTAATTAAATAATTAACGAAAAATTTAATCCGGAATAACCCATGACCCGGTTCGGTCAGGCCCGTTTTCTTTTTCGGATTATTTTAAATATATTTTTCCCGCAATATTTCAAACACTCCTTTTCCAACAGCAATGGCTATTTCTGAAAGGTTGCAAACCTTTTCAGAAACATTGCCATCAACTATATAAATAGAGTTTGAATCCCAAAATCTTTCTTTACGAAATTTTCTGAGCTTCTTCTTCTTCTTCTTCTTCTTCTTCTTATAGACAAAAGGAAGGCCTTGATTACTTTGACAGTTACTCGCCAGTAACGAGGATAACATCTATTAGGGTGTTAGTGGCAATAGCGGCCGTGTATGGTCTTGAAATCCATCAAATGTATGTTAAAACAACATTCTTAAATGGAGAATTAGACGAAGAGATTTATATGGAACAACCTGAGGGTTTTGTGGTAACTGGTAAAGAAAAGAAAGTGTGCAAACTTGTTAAGTCACTTTATGGACTTAAACAAGCACCCAAACAATGGCATGCCAAATTTGACCAAACAATGTTGGCAAGTGGGTTTAAAATCAACGAGTGCGACAAATGTGTTTACATTAAAAATACTCCAGGTCATGAAGTCATTGTTTGTTTATATGTTGATGACATGTTGATAATGAGCAAAAACATGGCAGATATAAATGTAACTAAGCGCATGTTGGCTAGCAAATTCGATATGAAAGACTTAGGAGTTGCAGATGTGATCTTAGGAATCAGAATTCACAAGACTCCACAAGGTCTAGCATTATCACAGTCTCACTACATTGAAAAGGTACTTGACAAGTTCAAGTATTTGGATTTCAAAATTGCCAAGACTCCAATTGACGTGAGTTATGCACTTCAAAAGAATGAAGGTGAAAGTGACTCACAATTGGATTATGCAAGAGTATTGGGAAGTTTGATGTATATCATGAATTGTACACGACCAGATATAACATGTGCTATTAGTAAACTTAGTCGGTTTACAAGTAATCCCAATCACATACATTGGATGACAATGAAACGAGTTTTGGGGTATCTCAAATATACCCAAAATTACGCTTTGTATTATAACAAATATCCCTCCGTGATCGAGGGATATAGTGATGCAAATTAGATCACTGGATCATATGAAGTTAAATCCACGA